CTGACTACTGACTCAACCTGCAAGTTTACCTTGAGAGAATCCTGGACTAGAACTCCCAAGTCTCTTTGCACTTCAGATTTCTGAATTTTCTCCCCATTTAGCAAATATTCCATGCTTTTATTCTTCCTACCAAAGGGCATGACCTCACACTTTCCCACATTGTACTCCATCTGCCACTTCTTTGCACACTCTCCAAACCTATCCAAGTCCTTCTGCAGCCTCCCGCCTCCTCAATACTACCTGTCCCTCCACCTATCTTTGTATCGTCTGCAAACTTAGCCAGAATGCCCACAGTTCCTTCATCTAGATAATTAATGTACAAAGTGAGAAGTTGTGATCCCAGCACTGACCCTTGTGGAACACCACTTGTCACCAGCTGCCATCGTCAGAAAGACTCTTTCAACCCCACTCTCTGCTTTCTGCCAGACAGCCAATCTTCTATCCATGCTAGCACCCTGCCTCTAACACCATGGGCCCTTATCTTACTCAGCAGCCTCCTGTGGGGCACCTTATCAAAGGCCTTCTTGAAGTCCAGGTAGATAACATCCATTGGCTCTCCTTAGTCTACCCTGCTTGTCACTTCCTCAAAGAATTCTAACAGATTTGTCAGGCATGACCTCCCCTTGATGAAACCATGCTGACTTTACCCTATTTTACTATACACTTCCAAATATTCAGAAATCTCATCCTTTACAATGGACTCGAACATCTTACTCATGACCAAGGTTAGGCTAACCAGCCTGTAATTTTCTGTCTTTTGCCTTACTCCCTTTTTAAACAGGGGTGTCACATTAGCCATTTTCCAGTCCTCTGGGACCCTCCCTGACTCTAGTGATTCCTGAAAGATCATCACTAATGCTTCCACTATCTCTTCAGCTATCTCCTTTAGAACTCTGGGGTGTAGTCCATGAGGTCCAGGTGATTTGTCCACCTTCAGGCCAATCAGTTTTGCTAGTACCTTCCCCTTAGTGATGGCCACCATACTCAGCTCTGGCCCTTGACTCTCTTGAATTTTTGGGATATTACTCGTGTCTTCCACTGTGAAGACTGACACAAAGTAATTATGCAGTTCCTCAGCCATTTCCTTGTTCCCCACTAACATCTCTCCACCGTCATTTTCCAGTGGTCCAATGTCCACTTTTGCCTCTCTTTTGCCCTTTACGTACCTAAAGAAACTCTTACAGTCTTCATTTATATTACTGGCTAGCTTACCCTCATATTTAATCTTCTCCCTCCTTATTTCTTTTCTCATTGTCCTCTGTTGGTCTTTGTAACCTTCCCAGTCCTCTGGCTTCCCACTGCCCTTCGCCACATTATATGCTTTCTCTTTTGATTTTATGCTCTCCCTGACTTCCTTAGCCAGCCATGGTTGCCTCATCCGCCCTGTACCAGGCTTCTTTTTCCTAGGGATGAATTTTTGCTATGTCTCCTGAATTACTCCCAGAAACTCCTGCCATTGCTGTTCCACAGTCTTTCCTGCTAGGCTCCTCTTCCAGTCAATTCTGCCCTGCTCCTCCCTCATACCTCTGTAGTCACCTTTATTCAGCTGTAATACCGTTACCTCTGATTCTATCTTCTCCCTCTCAAATTGCAGAGTAAATTCAATCATATTATGATTACTGCCTCCTAAGGGTTCCTTTACCTTAAGCTCCCTTATCAAGTCTGCCTCATTGCACAACACCAAATCCAGTATTGCCTGTTCCGTTGTGGGCTCCACCACAAGCTGTTCCAAAAGGCCACCTCGTAGACATTTCACAAACTCCTTTTCTTGCAATCCACTATCAACATGATTTTCCCAGTCCACCTGCATATTGAAATCCCCCCATGATCACTATGACTTTGCCTTTCTTACACACCTTTTCTGTCTCCTGGTGCGTCCTGCACTCCAGCTCCTGACTACTGTTTGGAGGCCTGTACACATCCCCAACTATGGTTTTTTTTATCTTTGCGGTTCATCAGGGTAGGGAATATTACCAGTGTGCACCAAGACCCCATACTTAATTTACATTTCACCATCGTCCATGCTGGAATTTGATGTCACATTCCTAGAACATTGCCAGTTATACAAGACTGATTCCTGGAATGATAGGACTGACATATTAAGAGAAATTGGATCAATTAAGACTATATTCACTGGAGTTTAGAAGAATGATGTGATATTCATGGGAACCTATGAATTTCTAAGAGAACTAGACAGGGAAAATGCAGTAGGAACGTTCCTGATGATTGGGGAGACCAGACCAGGTGTCACAATTTAAGAATATGGGAGAGACCATGTAGGATTGAGATGAGAAGAAATTCCTTTTTCCAGAGAATGGTGAGCCTCCGGAATTCTCTGCACAGAAAGCAGTTAAGACCAAACATTGAATGTTTTAAAGGAGTTAGATATATTTTTGAGGGCTAAAGGGATGAAAGGTATGGGAGAAAGCAGGAACAGTTCACAGAGTTCAATGATCAGCCATGATCATACTGAATGGCAGAGGAGTTGCAAAGGGCCAAATTGCCTGCTTCGATTTTCTATGTCTAACTGAACTCCAGAGGTGAGGCGAGAGAGAATGCTCTCAACATAAAGATAACAGTCAATCCTGTACAACTTTGGGAGTGCGAGCAAAACTAGATTTGGGAATTGGGCGAAAGACTCTCTGCTATTTGGAGTCATACCTAGCACAAAGGAAGACTTATATGGTTTATGGAGGTCAATCTTAGCTCTAGGACATCTCTACAGGAGTGCCTCAGGATAGCGTCCTCCATCCAACTGTCTGCAGCTGCTCTGTCAACATCACAAGGCTGATGTTCACTGATAATGCATGAAGACAAAGAACAAAAGAAACAAAGAACAATACAGCGCAGGAACAGGCCCTTCAGCCCTCCAAGTCTGTGTCGACACATTTTGCCCTTCCATACCCAAACTGTATTCGTCCAGGTGCTTCTTGAGTGCTGCTATCGTGTCTGCTTCCACCACCTCCTCTGGCATGCATTCCAGTCACTCACCACCCTGTGTGAAAAACCTGCCTCGCATATCTCTTTTAAACATTCCCCATTGTGCTCCCCCAACACCTTGAACCTGTGTCCCCTAGTAATTGACCCCTCCACCCCGGGAAAAAGTCTCATACATTCCACTCTATCGATGCCATTCACAGTCTTATAAACCTGCTGCGTTCCACTGAAAACAAACCCAGTTTGTCCAACCTTTCTTCCTAGCTAAAACCCCCCTTACTAGGCAACATCCTGGTAAACCTTATCCGTAGCCTCTCCAAAGCATCCACATCCTTCTGGTAATGTGCCACATAAGTATCAGGCAATCACTATCTCCAACAAGTGAATGGCTATGCATTACCATTGACGTTCAATGGTATTACAATGACTAAATACCTCATTTTCCATATCCTGATGGTTACCATTGAGCAGAAACTGAATTGTTCTGGTCATATAAATATTGTGCTACAAGAGCAGGTCAGAAGCTAGGAATCCTGCAAATTGCAACTCATCTCCTGACTCCCCAGAGCCTGTCCACCACCAACATATTGGCACAAGTCAGCAGCATAATGGAATACTCTCTATTCACATGGATGAATGCAGCTCCAAAGCCACTCAAACAACTTGACATCATCCAGGAAAAAGCAACCCATCTGACTGGCACCTTATCCACCACCTTGAATACACACTCCCTTTTTTGTTTTGATTTGACTTATTACTGTCACATGTACCTAGTTACAGTGAAAGGTTTTATTTTGTGTGCAGTACAGGCAGATCCTGCACAGCCCAGACTATCAGGGAAGTCAACCTACCAACCACGGACTCCATTTACGCTTTCCATTTACAGCACAGAAAGGCTGCCAACATCATGAGAAGTCCCATCCCACCCCGGTAATGTTCTCCTACAACCTCTTCCGTCAGGCAGAAGATACAGAAGCTTGAACACGTTTATCGGCAGGTTCAGGAACAGCTTCTTCCCTGCCATTATTAGACTGATGAATGGACTCTGTAACTTCAAATATTGCTGATCTTGTTAATGTTGATCTTGTCCAGTGCACACCTTGTATGGTGTAACCTGTATGCCTCTGTCCAAGTTTTTTTTCACCGTATGATCTGGATGTACTTGCTAATTATGCTCTGCCCTACTGCTTGCAAACAAAGCTTTTCACTATACTAAGGTACACATGACAATAAATCAAACCAAACCAAATCAGAGACAAAGTGCATAAGAGTAATAGAACACAATGTTACAGCTGAAGAGAAGGTGCACAGAGAGCAAGGTTAACATTAAATTTTAAAATTGAAAGGTCCATTCAGAAATCTAATAACAATGGGAAGAAGCTGTTCTTGAATCTGTTGGTCCATGTATTTACGCTTCTGTAATTTGTGTCTGACTAATGAGGCTGGAAGAGATTATAATCAGGGTGGGAGGGGTCTTTGATTATGTTGGCTGCCTTTCTGAGGCAGTGAGAAGTATAAATGGAATCAATGGATTGAAGGTTGGCTTGTGTGATTAACTGGGCTGTGTTCACAACTCTCTAATTTCTTATGGTCTTGGGTACAACAGTTGCCATACCATGCTGTGATGCATCTGGATAGTGGCAGTAGTGTCAGTGCAGTAACGCACCAGGACTGATGCTGGCTTAAAATCATGGATCCCCCTTCCTAACAGAACTGTGGGCGTTCCTACCCCATGAAAGAGTGCAGAAGACCAAAAACGTAGCTCATTATAAACTTCTCCAAGGCAATTTGGTTTGGACAATAAACACTGGCCTATCCAACGATGTACCCATCCCATGAATGAATAGAAGAGGTGAATAGATATAGCATCTAGGGCGCGTGGGATCTAAGGTTATGAGGAGAAAGCAGGATTAGGTTACTAAGTTGACAATTAGCCATGATTGTGAAGAATGATGGAGCATGCTTGAAGGGCTGAATGGCCTCCTCCTGCCCCTATCTTCTATGTTTCTACATAAAAAAAATCACAAGTATTCATTCAATGAATTGCTCAACAAGAATGTGATGCATTTTATCTTTTAATAAGAACTTCTTAAAACCAGAAATGAACTGGTATAATATTTTCAAAACCTTTGTTTCTACATTGCACCCAGGTTACAAACAGCTTGTCATAATCAAGATGAAAGTAACATTGTAGTTAAATTATCAAATGACTTCAGTGTTTCTCGAGCTACCTGCACCATTTCAATTTATAAATACATTTTCAAGCATAAAAATAGTCTTTCAATCTTTACCAGGTGTCTATCTTGAATATCAGAATTAAATAATATTGTTTTACACACTGGAAAATATACATAATTTTACATTTATACACCACCATTACATAGAATAACTTGTAGCAGAGCAGAGTAACTTTTGAATTTAACAGCAAGCAATTATAGTTTGAAACACAGTTCACAATCTCACCTCAAAGAAAGACATCTTGACAATACACTTCATACAATACTTATAATATGCTAAGAATTTACAGAACTGTAATTCATGCTTGTAATTTTTATTTTATCTAAAATTTGGAAAACTGACGAGATCAAATGGAGCATTGATTTTGCATCTCGTCTCTCCACTGACTTTAACAGAGAGTAAGTTATGGTAGCACCTGAAACCAAGATTTCACCCCATATTCTCAGTTTTCTAATGGGCAGATTAGATTAAATCATAAATGCACCATCACCCCGCTGTCTCACCACAACTATGCATACAGTTCCCAAAATCTTTTCCTCTAGTCAATGTTATGCACCTATAAGAACCCTGTCAAGCACATGAAAACAAGAACATGTAGTGTCACAAAATACACAAAGACTAAGTAGCGTGATCTGGCCCTTGAGCTCATTATCTTTGAGCAGTACAAGCTTCGGCTGCGCAGCCACCGTTTGAAGGACAGTGCTCCTCTCTTTACCTGTGTGAAAGAAATGTAAATAAAAGATAAAATTGTGGGCTATAGTAAAAGAATGGGGCAAGACACTAGCTGGATAATTCTTCTTTAGAGGTGGCATAGGCATTAGAGACAGAATTGCCTTATTTATACTGCAGGAGTCTATGATTATTAGCAGAGAGGTTTAGCTATGAAAACCTGGTCACTGAACACAAGACACCAAATTAACATTCCATTGGGCAGAAGCGTATCCACTCAAGAAATTGAATTGGTAGCCTATCTTGATTAGTATCAGATGGCAAGGCAGTTAGCACAGGATATTTGTATGACTACATGACATTATGTATTTACATTTGAAATATTGTGAGCAGTTTTGGGCTCCATTTCTAAGGAAAGATGTTACGGTCTGGAATGGGGTTCAGAGGAGGTTTACAAAAATTATCCCAGGGATGAACGGCTTGCTATGCGAGAAGCGGTTGAGAACTCTGGGTCTGCACTCTATAGAGTTTAGAACGTTGAGGGGGTATATCAATGAAACTTACAGAATACTGAGAAACCTGGACAGAGTGGACGTGGGGAAGATATTTCCACAAGCAGGAGAGATTGGACCCAAGAGCACGGCCTCAGAGTGAAGGGATGACCCTTTAAAGCTGAGATAAGCAGGAATTTCTTCAAACAGAGGGTGGAGAATCTGTGGAACTCATTGCCACAGAAGGCTTGGAAGCCAAGTCATTGATTGAATTTATGGCAGAAATGGATAGTTTCTTGATTAGTAAAGGGATCAAAGATTACAGACAGGAGGTAGAAGATTGGGGTTGAGAACATATTAGACATGATCAAGTGGCAGAGCAGTCTCGATGAGCTTATAGTCTACATAGGAGCAGAAATAGGCCATTGGGCCCATGGGTCTGCTCTACTATTCAAAGAGATCATGGCTGATCTGAGAATCCTCATCTCCACTTTCCTGCCTTATGCCTATAATCTTTGATTCCCTTACTGATTAATAACCCTTAAGAGAAAAAAACACTTTTAAAGGTTTTGGAGTAGATCTGTAGCTTGGGTTGTGGGTGTTGAGGTTGGTTGGCTCGCCGAGCTGGTTTGTTGTTCCGCAGACGTTTCGTTACCGTGCTTGGTAACATCCTCAGTGCAGCCTCTGATGAAGCGTTGGTGTGTTTTCCCGCCTGGTTTTTAAACTCTAGGGTCCGTTGCGATGGATTGCTTCACTTCCGGGTTTCCTCCGTAGTGGAATGTATATGGGGTCGAGTTCAATGTGTTTATTAATAGCATGCTTCGTGGAGTGCCATGCTTCCAGGAATTCTCGTGCTTGTCTCTGCCTAGCCTGTCCCAGGATCTTGGTGTTGTCCCAGTCGAAGTCGTGGTTCTCCTTGTCCATGTGGATTGAGATGAGTGAGTATTGATCGTGTCTTTTTGTAGCCAGTTGGTGTTCATGTACTCTTGTTGTTAGTTTCCTTCCTGTTTGTCCGACGTAGTGTTTCTCGCAGTCTCTGCTGGGGATCTTGTGGATGACATTGGTCCTGTCCATGGCGGGGAGTGGGTCTTTAGTTCGGGTGAGCACTTGTCGTAGGGTTGATGTGGGCTTGTGTGCCACTCTGATGCCCAGCGGTCATAGAAGTCTTGTGGTGAGTCCTGACGTGTTCCTGATGTAGGGTAGTGTGATGAGTGTGTTGGGGTGTGTAGAATCTTTCTGATGCTGTTCCTGTAGGCATCTCCTGACCCAGTTCTTTGGATATCCATTATCCTTGAATACGTGGAAGAGGTATTCCTTCTCCTCTTGGACATTTTTTTTTCCATCTCTACTCAGTGAGTACAAGCCCAACCTACTCAGCCTCTCATTATAGAAAACTCCCTCCATACCCTGAACAACCTAGTTAACCTTCTCTGAACTACCTCCAATGCTAGTATATCTTTCCATAGGTAAGGAGACCAAAACTGTTCAAAGTATTCCAGCTTGGTCTGACTCATGCCTTGTATAGTTTTAGCATGACATCCCTATTTTTATTCTATTTCTTTTTAAACTGAAGAAACAACAGTACAGCACAGGAATAGGACCTTCAGTGTACCAAGCCTACTCCAACATATGGGCGGTATGGTGGCTCAGTAGTCAGCACTGCTGCCTCACAGCACCAGGGGGCTGGGTTCAATTCCACCCTCTGACAACTGTCCGTGTGGAGTTTGCACGTTTTCCCCGCGTCTGTGTGGGTTTCCTCCGGGTACTCCGGTTTCCTCCCACAACCCAAAGATGTGCAGGCTAAGTCTACTGGCCATGCTAAATTGTCCATAGTGTTCACAGATGTGTAGATTACGTGGGTTATAGGGGGATGGGTCTGCGTGGGATGCTTTGAGGGTCAGTGTGGACTTGTTGGGCCGAAGGGCCTGTTTCCACACAGTAGGGATTCTGAGCATATGATGCCTTTCAAAACTAAAAATTCTTTGCCTCCAGGCAGTCAGCATTTCTCTAATCCCTGTCTATTTATGTATCTGTCAAGATCCCTCTTATATCTGCTTTTACCACTCCTCAGGCAGCACATTCCACACTTAGCACTTTGTATATAAAACTTGCTCCTCCTTTAAACTTACCCTCTTTTACCATAAACGTATGTCTCCTAGTAATTGACATTTAAACTGTGATATTATAGACTTCAATCTTTAATAATTTCATAGACTGAATGAATCAAAAAAGATAAACTATTACACTCAGCACTAACTCTGCCTGGAATAAACTATTAAAGGACAACGACAAACATATACAGGAATTGAAAGCAATTAGCCACATCTGGGAGTGGAGGCTGCATAGGGCAAACTGCTTTGACATCTGCCCAATAAACTGGATGCTCTATGCCACAGACAACTGATTGCCCTGCAGAAGTTTTTAAGGAGTTAATTACAGGAAAGCTATGTCTTTGAACAGATAGTTAAAGCCAAATTTAACAAGGAACAAGTAAATTACTTCTGACGAAAAGGCAAGCTGCAGACTTGCAGTAATTTAGATGAAATGACTTTTTAAAAAATTATCAATCCATCACCTCAGAGACCGTAGGATGAAAATCTGTATCAGCCATTATCACTGAACTGTTAATCCAGAGACCCAGATAATGTTTTGGGGACCAGGTTTGAATCCCACCATGGCAGATGGTGGAATTTGAATTCAATGAATATCTGGAATTAAGAGTCTAATGATGACCATGAATCCACTGTCCATTGTTGGAAAAACCCATCTGGTTCACTAATGTCCTTTAGGGAAGGGAACTGTCATCCTTACCTGGTCTGGCCTACATGTGACTCCAGACCCACAACAATGTAGTTGACTCTTAAGTACCCTTTGGGCAATTAGGGATGCACAATAAATGCTGCCTAGTCAGCAACGCCCTCATCCCGTGAATGAATAATGAATAAAGCAAAAAACTCAACAGCAGAACTTTGAAGACCAACACTGCAGAAGGACCGAAGTGTCGAAACTTCCAGAAACAGATCACTACTGGTTGAAGTCCTGGCCAGATTTCACCATTAATCAGATGATAGTGAAGTCTATTGCGGGCTTATACTTGCTTACTTAATATTTGCTACATGCAATAAAGTCTGAATTATTGTTTTAGTACTTGATCATCTGTGAGAGATCTTATTAAGCAGCCAAAGTGAAGGTAACTTGTGATGATTTGTCTCCAAGTTTAGCCTGGGAAAAAGACTTGACTATCCATTCTAACCATGCCTCTCATAATTTTGTAAACTTCTAACAGGTCGCCGTCAGACTTTCAAGTGAAAACAAACTGCACTTGTCCAATTTCCCCTCATGACAAATACCCTTCAAAACTGGCAAGATTCTGGTACACTATTTCTGTACCATCCCCAACACCTCCACATCCTTCTTATAGTGTGGCGACTAGAACTGTATACAATATTCCAGACATGGCCTAACTAAAGTTCTATACAGCTGTAACATGACTTATCAATTTTTATAGTCTATACCCCGACCGATGAAGACAAGCATGTCATATGCCTTCTTGTCCACCTTAACTACTGTACTGTTACTTTGAGGGAACTGTGGACCTGTATGCCTAGATCCTTCTGTATGTTGATGCTTCTAAGGGTTCTGCCATTTACTGTAAATTTTAGACCTTCCAAAATGCATCACCTCGCAAATTCCAACTGCTATTTCTCTGCCCAGGTCTCCAGCCTATCTATATCCTGCTGCACTCTCTGGCAATGCTCCAATTCCGCAGCTACGCTAATCTTTATTGTCATCTGCAAAGCTATTAATCTCGCCACCTACATTCTCCTCCATATATATTATATATGTGGGTATATTATATATACACATATCCTATATATAACAACTAAGGTTCCAGCACTGATTCATGCAGAACACCACCGGTCATAGGTCTCCAGTCAGGTAAACACTCTTCCACTGCTACTCTCTATCTCTATGACTAAGCCAGCTCTGTATTCATCTTAGCAGCTCACCACAGATTTCATGTGATTTCACTTTCTGTATCAGCCTTTCATGAAGGACCTTGCCAAAGTCAATGTAGACAACATCCACCGCTCTGCCCTCATGGATCATCTTAGTTACTTCCTCAAAAAACTCAAGCAAGTTTGTGAGACATGAACTCCCATTCAAAGCCATGCTGCCTCTCACTAATAAGTCCATATTTATCTAAACATGAGTAAATTCCGTCCTGAATCTCCCTACCCCTGACACAAGGCTCACTGGCCTATAATTTCCCAGATTAATAAGGTACAACATTAGCTATTCTCCAGTTCTTTGGAACCTCTCCTGTGATTAAAGTTGACAGGAAGATTTTAGACAAGGCCCCAGCAATTTTCTCCCTCGCCTCTCTCAGCATTCTGGGATAGATCCCATCAGGTCCCGAAGAATTATCTATCTTAATGTTAAAACTCCCAACACATCCTTCTTTTTTGACAGCAACATGCCCGAGAATATCACCAGGCCCCTTTCCTGACTTAACATCCATCATATCCTTCTCCTTTGTGAATACCAATGCAAA